ATGGAAAAACAAGCCTCACTATTGAAATAAAATTAATTTATGTAATTCGTATAATCAAGGAGGTTTGAATGGGCTTTATTTTGTAAGTTTAACCGGATTAAACATCATATTAAACATAAAGATGAGATATGGTATATAATTCCAAATCTTATTTTTGAAAAAGTTGGAGGCATAGAGTTTCTTTTGAAGTGTGATTTTGAGGTCAACAAACTCCCCATTAAGTTATCTAGTTTTCATAGACAGGCTCTTTTATATTGGATTCTTATATACAGACATAATTTTTCTCCCCATAGGCAGATAATTTGGAATAATAAATATGTTAAATATAAGAACAAATCAATTTTCTATACTAATTGGGTTAAAAATGGTATTCTAATGGTCTCACAGTTGATAAATAACGAAGGATATTTACTTACATATACTGAATTTTTAGAGAAATTTGGTATTCCAATACCTCAGCGTGAATATAGTATTGTGATTGATGCAATACCAGCAGGATTTGTGAGGCTTTTTACAGGGATTTAGTTAATTTAAGCAATCAACATTTAAAAAAGAGATCTTATTAAATGGTATTGATATCAAAGATAGAAAATGTAATACATTTTGATTCACTGCCCTGCAACATTTCGATGTAAGTACTTCTGGAATAACCATTTTGAGATGATCAACTGGAAATTGATTTGGACTTATAATAACAAATTCTGTGTCACAAATAAAGTTAGTGAAGCTTACTTTAAAATTATACATAATTTATCCAACTAACCAGTTTCTCAAGAGATACAGAGCTGATCTCTCTCTGAATTTTGTGTTTTTTTGTGGAATGCATGTTGAGACTGTTTTGCATCTTCTTTTTTTTTAATGTGTATGTTCTATTTTTCTGGATTGATGTTGAATATTTATTTACTATGTTGAGTGGATCTAAAATTAATATAAGAAAAAGAGATGTTATATTTTATTTTGATAAAAAAGATATGGATAAGAGTCTAATTTTTATGCTAAATCTTCTAATATTATTAGGTAAGCTTTACATACACAAATGTAAATGGTCAGAAAGGAAGCCCAGTATCTCCCACTTCAAAGCTGATTTGAGGATTTATTTTGAAACCCTTCAAGGTCTGTCAAATCGGAAAGCAGCCATAACTATGGACACGCTCAAAGAACTAAACTCCTCTTTTCTCTTGTGATTATTGATGTATACCCTCCTTATTATTTATTCATTTTTCTTTCCCTTTTCTTTTTTTTGTTCGTTTTTTTTTCTTCCAGAAAACGTGAACATCATGTTTGTAACCTTGTGTTATACTTTTGAATGTTCATTGTTCAGCATATACAAGAACAAAGGAGAACAAAGCTCTGCTTATTCTATTTATTATATATTAAACTTTGCCTTCTAGTTTAACACAAGGGCTTTTAACTTTGATACCTAAATCTAAAAAAGATGTTACTTTGATAGATAATTGGCGAACCTATTTGTCTCCTTAATAATGATTATACAATTTTAGCTTGGGCTTTGGCCAAAAGACTCAAGTGTGTTCTAAGTTCAGTTATCGATGAGACTCAATTAGGATTTATGCCAAAAAGACACATATCAAACAATATCCGACTTGTTCTAGATTTATTAGACTATAGCGAATTAGTTAATGATGACAGTCTTATTCTTTTTGTAGATTTTTACAAAGCTTTTGACTGTCTTGAACACAAGTTTATTTTTCTATCTCTCAAAAAGCTTGGGTTTGGTGATCCATTCTGCAAATTTATAAGAACTCTTTATAATAATGCCAACTGTTCCATCAACCTTAAGTCGGGTACCTCGCCTAGATTTCAATTGTCAAGAGGAGTTCGTCAGGGTTGCCCTGTATACCCTTATTTATTTCTTGTGGCTGCACAACTTCTTTCCTCCTCTCTTTTGAGTACACTCTTAAAAATAAAGGTGCTTCACGATGCCATAGAAGAACCTTTTTGTCTAAATGGTTCCATAAAGAACCTTTAACATCTGAAGAACCTTTCTGTTTCACAAAAGGTTCTTTGGGGCGAAAGAAGGTTCTTCAGATTATAAAAAGGTAAGAAAGAGATGGTTCTTTAAAGAACCTTTGACTGAATGGTTCTTTGTGGAACCAAAAATGGTTCTTCTATGGCATCGCTTGAAGATTGTGTCCTAATGGAATGGCCAGTTTATCAACATTCCATGGAAAAAAAGTGTGGACTTTGTCGTCTAAATATTTAATAACCAATAAGGTCAAGGATGTGTCCTACAAACTACTTCATCTTTTTTATCCTGTAAAGCTTTACTTAAAAAGAATGTTTCCTGATATTGACTCTTTATGTTCTTTTTGTGGTGCTGAAGACAAATCTATTTCTCATCTCTTCTGGGAATGCTCATATACAAGTATGTTCTGGAGGGATTTCTGTATTTTTGTACGCACATTTTCATCACAAAGTTTTTCTTTGTTATGCAAAGATGTTTTATTTGTTCAGCACGATTTTGATAAAGATGCAAAGGACCCATATTTATTGATCAATTAGTTTATTTTTCTAACGGATTATGTAAATTTTCTTACATAAATGTAAATTTCAGGGTGCTAAGCCTTACTTTTTTATATTTCATAAGGAACTTAAATCCTATCTGGACACTCTCCTTACATCCAGCAACTCCAAAGCCCTTAAAACTGTCTCATTGTGTCATTTGTACTATATTTTCCTGATTTTGTAACCTGCATTTGTACTCTCAATTGTATTTACCCCTGGCATTGATTGTGTATGTTCTTAGCAATGCAATAATAAAAAAAAAGGTTCTTTTTTATATTTCATAAGGAACTTAAATCCTATCTGGACACTCTCCTTACATCCAGCAACTCCAAAGCCCTTAAAACTGTCTCATTGTGTCATTTGTACTATATTTTCCTGATTTTGTAACCTGCATTTGTACTCTCAATTGTATTTACCCCTGGCATTGATTGTGTATGTTCTTAGCAATGCAATAATAAAAAAAAAAGTTTCAGAACTGCAGGCACAGAACCGGAAATGAGGGGCGGAGTTATTGACAACGAGAGAGCACGGTGAGTAGTCTGTAATATTTTTGCTATCATATGTTTAATAATTATCGTAAATATTACGTTAAGCATTTATCTGCTAATTAGCCTACTTAATGTGTGCTTGGCTTTATTATCTTATACTGAAGCTTGAATTTGTTGTCATACTTTATAGCAGGGTTCCTCAAATCTTGCCCTGGAGGGCCAATGCGCTGCAGAGTTTAGCAAATATCTTGAGTTGTTTGTTTAATATATGTGCTCACAATTTATTATTGCATAATTTCTATTATATAATCTCTATATTATATATATATATATATATATATATATATATATATATATATATATATATATATATATATATATATATATTGTGGTGAAGACGACTTGCTGAAGTTCAAACCGAGCATCAGAATGGGGAAGAAAGGGGATTTAAGTGACTTTGAAAGTGGAATGGTTGTTGGTGCCAGACGGGCTGGTCTGAGTATTTCGAAAAAACTGCTGATCTACTGGGATTTGCATGCACAACCATCTCTAGGGTTTACAGAGACTGGTTCGAGAAAGAGAAAATATCCAGTGAGCGACAGTTGTGTGGATGAAAATGCCTTGTTGATGTCAGAGGAGAATGGGCAGACTGGTTAGAGATGATAGAAAGGCAACAGTAACTCAAATAACCACTCGTTACAACCAAGGTATGCAGAATACCATCTCTGAACGCACAACATGTCGAGCCTGAAGCAGATGGGCTACAGCAGCAGAAGACCACAGCGGATGCCGCTCCTGTCAGCTAAGAACAGGAAACGGAGGCTACAATTCGCACAGGCTCACCAAAATTGGACAATAGAAGATTGGAAAAATGTTGCTTGGTCTGATGAGTCTCGATTTCTGCTGCGACATTCAGATGGTACGGTCAGAATTTGGAGTAAAGAACATGAGAGCATGGATCCATCTTGCCTTGTCTCAACGGTTCAGGCTGCTGGTGGTGGTATAATGGTGTGGGGGATATTTGGCACACTTTGGGCCCCTTAGTACCAATTGAGCATTGTTTAAACGCCACAGCCTACCTGAGTATTGTTGCTGACCGTATCCAGCCCTTTATGACTACAGTGTACCCATCTTCTGATGGCTACTTCCAGCAGGATAATGCACCATGTCACAAAGCTCAAATAATCTCCGACTGGTTTCTTGAACATGACAATGAGTTCACTTTACTCAAATGGCCTCCACAGTCACCAGATCTCAATCCAATAGAGCACCTTTGGGATGTGGTGGAACGGGAGATTCGCATCATGGATGTGCAGCCGACAAATCTGCAGCAACTGCGTGATGCTATCATGTCAATATGGACCAACATCTCTGAGGAATGTTTCCAACACCTTGTTGAATCTATGCCACGAAGAATTAAGGCAGTTCTTAATTAGTATACTGTGTGTGTTATATATATATTACACACACACACACATTTTTTTTTTAATGTTGAAGGTATTTTGTATGAATTAGGTCATTAAGCTTTTGTTTTAAAATTAATAGAAGATTTATGCATAAATCTGGTATATGCCAGCAGTGCCTCACAGATAAAAGTTATATAAACTACTCGTTTTTTCACACACACACACATTTTTGAAAATGTTGAAGGTATTTTGTATGAATTAGGTCATTAAGCTTTTGTTTTAAAATTAATAGTAGAAGATTTATGCATAAATCTAGTATATGCCAGCAGTGCCTCACAGATAAAAGTTATATAAACTACTTGTTTTATTACACACAAGGGCAATGTACTACATGTAACTGTCATTCCTTCCCCAGACACACACCTATAACACACTTTAACTACAACAGATACTCCTGAGTTTACCAATGCGGTGTGGTAATTAGCTAAACGTTTTTTTTGTGGAAGACCATGCTTTCTGACTTGGTCTTTTCATTACAGACCTTCCCTATCGAGCCCTGAGAATCATCTGGAGTCCATTTACTTCCAGTGTAAAAGAAAAAAACAACAACCAACAATACAGGGCAGAAATTATGGATCGTCTGTTGAAGAGATGCCGAATCAAGAGTAGATTGTTCAGAGAATGCCTTGCGGAATTTTTCGGAGTCTATATTTTGATAGTAAGTCAGTCTTCATAACTGTATTTGTAATGTGGAAATGTGTGCCATTAACTGAAGTCTCAGAATGAGGCCCACTTGTATCTTTACAAAATGTTGATAATTCAGCAATTTTATGAGAATGCTATCATATCTTTTTATGTATATATACATGTTTACATTCAAATGACAATGGAAAAGCTCTTATAAAAATGTATTATCTTTGAGTAAAATATACCTCCTTCTGCCCATTTAAATCTTTTCTGTAGCAAATGTGCAAATAATTTCTGCAATATTCTGGAGAACAAACTTCACTGACCTCTTGGAACAAAATTTTTGGCACTGAACATAAACTTAATCTAACCCTAAATTGCACAGCAATTTTATTGTGCCATAAACCTTTTCATAATAGACGTGTCTGTATAAACATTCACACTAGATTTTTTAATATATTTCTTGTTATCACTCTCTCTCTATAGCTTTTTGGGTGTGGATCAGTTGCCCAGGTGACGACCTCTCAAAACACTAAGGGTGAATACCCGTCAATCAACCTCGGATTTGCATTGGGCACCACATTTGGGGTTTATGTGCCAAAAGGCGTATCAGGTATAAAATCTCCAGAGCAGCTGTGCATATTAAGACATCAGTCCTTGTGTGTATATATATATGCAAATTAATATATTTCTCATCTGTTTAAGGAGCTCACCTGAATCCAGCTGTTTCCCTCACCCTGTGTGTCCTGGGCCGGTTTTCCTGGACTCGTCTTCCTTTCTATGTGTGGTCGCAGCTCTTTGGTGCATTTCTGGCTGCAGCAACTGTTGCTCTTCAGTACTATGGTGAGTGAATCTCAGTCTATCAGATCTATCATATACGTAATCGACACTACCAGTCAAAAATATTTTTTTAATGATTTTTATTTTTGAAAGAATTCTTTTATGCCCACCAAGACTGTATTTATTTGAACAAAAATACAGTAAAAATAGTAAAATTGTGAAATAGTATTACAATTTTAAAATAACTGTTTTGTACCTGAAAATATTTAAAATGTAATTTATTCCTATGAAGCAAAGCTGAATTTTCAGCATTAATACTCCAGTCTCCAGTGTTACGTAATCTTTTAGAAATCATTCTAATATGCAGGTTTGGTGCTCAAGACACTTTTTAATTTTTTTTTATTATTATTATTTTTTTATATCATCAGTGTTGGAAATGGTTGTGCTGCTTAATAGTTTTGTGGAAATCATGATGCACTATATAATTCAAAAGTTCAAGGTGAGATAAAAAAAAAAAAAGAATCCTTTTATTGAGCAAAGAAGCATAAAATTGATGTGTGTAATTATATTTACAATTTTTACTGTATTTTGATCACATAAATTAGCCTAGGTGAGCATAAGACACTTTCAAAAACAAAAATCTTAATTATTCCAAACTTTTGACTGGTAATTTAGAAAATAAATATAAATCACACAAGTACATCCAAATGAAGACACTTTTCTATTCATACGTGTTTGTTCACAGATGCCATAATGGATTTCACTGGAGGGCATCTGACAGTTAGTGGTGCCACTGCCACAGCTGGTATCTTCTCAACATATCCAGCAGACTACCTGAGTCTATGGGGAGGAGTGGTAGACCAGGTCAGCACAATATATGAACACATGGAAATCTACTGTTTGAAATGCTAAGACTATTCTCAAGGCACAAGACTTTCGTAAGATCACCATAACCAAATATTCTAAATTAATTGTTAATTCATAACAAAATTACCTATTCTGATTTGATGGGCTTACTGATTTTATGCAACAGTAGCTAATATTGAGTAACTTACATTTGATATACAATACACTCTAAAAAAAATGCTGGGTTGTTTTAACCCAACTTTGGGTCAAATATGGACTAACCCAACTTTTGGGTTAAAAATGTAATTGAAAATTTTAACCCAACATTTGGGTTAGTCCATATTTGACCCAAAGTTGGGTTAAAACAACCCAGCATTTTTTAGAGTGTACTGTCAGTTATTGTCAGCCAATGAAAATTGTTCCAAAAGAAGCCACAGCAGAAAGCATGTATTTAAGTGAATCGGTTGAACGATTCAATGACTCACTTTTAAATACAGTAATTTTTTGTGCTACCTACTAGCGATGGAAAAACAAAACTACAAACTAATCACACCTGTTGTGTATATATAGTTTGTAAAGTGTATTTTTAGTTTGTGCCTGGATTCGCTCCGTTCACTCTGTCAAAGTCATTATTATTATTATTATTATTATTATTATTATTATTAATTATTTATAGGCGCCTTTCACGACACTCAAGGACACACCGTACATCAATAAACAACCAGTAATCAAACAAAAGGCAGCACAGCGTACCTGCATCTAAACATTACAAAAAAGTTTTAAGTCTAGATTTAAAAACTACAAGACTTTAACTATTATGAATATCCATCAGTAGAGAATTCCATAAATACGGAGCAGCATAACCAAAAGCTTGTGACCCCATAGAAGTTGTCCGAATGCGTGGAAGTACAAGAGTGAAAGCAGAGGCAGATCGTAAGATGCATGTAATAGTATTAATACAAAGGAGATCGGATAAATATGAGGGAGCTAAATCATTAAGTGTCTTGTAAGTTAAAAGCAAGACCTTAAAATTTATACTATTTAACAGGGAGCCAATGCAGATTTTGTAGGACAGGAGAGACATGCTCAGATATAGGAGCTTTGAAAATAACTTGTGCAGCCGCATTATGCACCAAGTGAAATTTGTGTATAGATTTAGATGGGAGTCCATAAAACAAGGAATTACAGTAGTCAATTTGTGAAAGCGTGTACAAGAATAACTCTTTGTTGAGCGCACAGGACAGAGACGACCATTCTTTAGTATATGGAAAAATGCAGAACGAGTAACATTATTAATATGAGCTTAAATGATAAAGTGCTGTTCAAGATGACACCCAGACTTTTAATCTGTTTAGATATAGAAACTTGACAATATAGAAATTGTCAATTGTCATAGACGGACAACTTGATTTGGCCAGAGTATTTTTTGATCCAACAAGAAGTGTTTCTGTTTTATCACTGTTAAGTTTGAGAAAATTACATGAATACCAGGTTTTTATTTCATCCAAACACTGAACAAGAGAAGACGGAGGAAAAACTGTGGTAGATTTAGAAGACCGATAAAGATGGGTGTTATCAGCGTAACAATGGAATTGATCCCCATATTTCCTAAAAATAAAACCAATTGGTAAAAGATAAATGATAAACAAAAGAGGTCCCAGAGCAGAGCCCTGCGGGACACCAGTGGTAACAGGTGTAGGATTTGATTTAAACTGCTTAAGTTGTACAAATTGAGTATGGTCTGTAAGTTAGGAACGAACACAAAGCGTTACCTGTAATTCCAATGGACTCCAATCTACTTAACAGTATGGGGTGTATCGAATGCTGCACTAAGAATGAGTATTGATAAAAGACCTGAGTCTGCAGCTACTAATAAATCATTAGAAATCTTTACAAGTGCAGTCTCGACACTATACGGATGAAACCCTGATTGTTCTGTTAATATGCTCATATAAACTATTAAAGGAGAGATGATCCCGGAGCTGAGATGCAACAATCCTTTCGAGAATTAAATTAGAAATAGGACGAAAATTCTCAAGATTATTTGAAACTGCCCCTGGTTTCTTGAGAATAGGTGTTGTTACAGAAGTTTTTAATACAGGAGGAACAAAACCAGAAAGAAGTGAGGCAATATCAGTGATTAAAGAAGAAAAACACGCTAACCCGGGTTTTACCATGCAAGTTGGAATAGGATCTAATTGACAAGTTGCAGATTTGGATTTTCGTATGATAGAAACAGTATCAACATCATATAACGATATGATGTTGATAAACGGCTTTAAATGGCTTTAAAAAGAACAAAACTTTAAAAAGAAGTGTTTTGTCACTTAAGTTCGATCTGAAGTGAACTGTGTAGAGAGTCCCAGTATTAACTTGAGGTTGTCCTGCAGATAATTGGCACAGCTGCTCTGCTAGTGTGTGTTCTTGCATTGGGAGACCCTCATAACACACCAGCTCCTCCTGGTCTGGAACCTGTCCTGGTAGGAGCAGCTGTCCTGGTGATCGGCATCTCCATGGGATCTAACAGCGGATATGCAATCAACCCAGCTCGAGACTTCGGCCCGAGACTCTTCTCTTACATTGCAGGCTGGGGAGATGAAGTGTTCAGGTCAGTCTAACATGCATACAAGGTCAAAGCCTTGTGATCAATTCAATATGCACTTAAATATTTTCCAACTTTTCCTTATACTGTATATACTCTTCAGAAGTTTAGGGACGGTAAGTTTTTGAAAGAAGTCTTTTATGCTCATCAAGGCTGCATTTAATTGATCAAAAATACAGTAAAAACAGTAACACTGTGCAATATTATTACAATATAAAAAAATTTGCTTTCTATTTTAATATATTTGTAAATGTAATTTATTCCTGTGATACAAAGCTGAATTTTCAGCAGTCATTACTCCAGTCTTCAGTGATGCTGATTTACTGCTCAAGAAACATTTCTGATTATGATCAGTGTTGAAAACAGTTGTGCTGCTAAATATTTTAGTGGAAAATTTAATATATTTTTCAAGTTTCTTTGATGAACAGAAAGTTAAAAAGAACAGCATTTATTTGAAATTTAATTTTTTATAACATAAATGTCTTTAGTGTCCATTTCATGCATCCTTGCTCAGTAAAATTAATTTCTTTAAAAAACACTATTAAATGGTAATGTATGCTATATACAAACTAAATTAGTATTTGTACTACACACACACTGTAAAAAATATTTTTCTGAAGTGGTAAGTAAAAAATTATTGATCTAGTCTTTTACTAGAAAATACCATTTCAGTTTTTCTACTTCAAGATTACACAATTCATTGTAATTGTTAGTGAGATTTACTTAAAATTTCTGAGTGAAAATAGTTTCTACACCATTTTTATTTCAGTGTAGATATACAAAGTAAATGTTTAGCATTGTCAATGTAAAGAACAAAATAATTCATTTGTGGATGTGTAACAAAATATTTTTATACAAACAATTAGGAATTCTGTTCCATTGTAACCATGACACAGAACCAACCAAAAACTAGGAAGAAATATGTATATAAAGTAATGTGTGTGTGTGTGTGTGTGTGTGTGCGCGTATATATATATATATATATATATATATATATATATTTTTATAAAATCATTTTTGCAGTAATGCTTAATCTTTGACATGAGAAAAAAAAAACTTTGACACTAACATATGAACTGGGTGATCTTCCATATCTTGTAACTTGGATTTTTTTATAGGTTTATTAATGATCAAATATATCACCAATGACTTTGTAAAACCTTGCAGGGTCTCTGACGTCTTAAAATAAATTTCTGTTTAAAATAATGTAGCACAGTATCTACATGATACACTGTCTTAGCTACCGTTGAATTGCTGTTCAGTAAATTCAACAGAAATGTAGTACTTTAGATTTAGATTTTGTTAGCAAAAATCATGTACTCAGTTCTGGCTCTAATGAAGGGGCAAGACTTTATATTATTTTATTTGTTAACATTAAGATGAATAATTTCAACAAGTTTTGTAAAGTGTTACCTATTAAGTTTCTAAGAATGTTCACCGCTCATGAGTTTTAGAAGTATTTCCATCAGTAATTGCACTGGATTCAATGATATTTGCATAATGAAACTGCATTACACTAGTGTTTGTGTTCCCAGCATGCACTGGGATATGAATCATTAAGGACACCATGATCTGTATCGTACCAATTTACTGTTTTATTTATAAAGAAGGGCAAGATAACTGACACAGATGTACGGCAGTGAAACAGGCAAGTCATCACAGAATAAGATGGCTGTCTATAGACTATGTGTGGGACATATACATATATTACTGGAGGAATAGGAAGTCACACTCACACAGATGATTCACACGATCACAATATTATTTTTAAGAAATGTGTTTTTTGACAAGCACAGAACTTTCTGATAGAAAAGACTTTTATCAAAGAAAAAAAAACCACAAACGACATTCATATTTGTACATAATTCATCATAAAACACACAAGCAATCCTTCAAACTCAATGCCAATTTCTGATTCAGATGAACTCGTTAAAATTACACCAGGCTCCGAATGCAAACTTTCACTAGTAGTATTTCAATATCGACTATAAGCTAAGGAGAAAAAAAAAATACAAAGACTTATTCACATTTGCAAATGCAACAACCATAACAAACTGATGTACTGCATTTATACACATATAAAATGTGCTCAAGTGTATCTGTGACTGAAATGTATCCATGTTAACTTATATTGACCTTTTTTGACTATTTAAACTTTACAATCCATCTTTGACCTAATAAACGTCTGCTGTATATCTCCTTGCACAAATGAAACTTTTTCACCTCACTTAAAGTTCAATGATTATCAAAAGACTGATGAATGCTTCAATATAAATAAACATCAGTACTACAATGTCTGTACAATACTGTTACATTTAAAAGTCAGTGTTTTCCTTTATTTAAAAAAAAAAAAAAAAACCCTTCTACAAAGACTTATTCACATTTGCAAATGCAACAACCATAACAAACTGATGTACTGCATTTATACACATATAAAATGTGCTCAAGTGTATCTGTGACTGAAATGTATCCATGTTAACTTATATTGACCTTTTTTGACTATTTAAACTTTACAATCCATCTTTGACCTAATAAACGTCTGCTGTATATCTCCTTGCACAAATGAAACTTTTTCACCTCACTTAAAGTTCAATGATTATCAAAAGACTGATGAATGCTTCAATATAAATAAACATCAGTACTACAATGTCTGTACAATACTGTTACATTTAAAAGTCAGTGTTTTCCTTTATTTAAAAAAAAAAAAAAAAACCCTTCACTAGCACCCTTTTTGCTTAAATGCTTTTTGTGGACTGACGCAAAACCCAGCAGACGCCAAACAGCTCGATGTAAAGTAGTTTTCGAGCAGACACAATTTGACCTTGTGTAAATTCATTTAAAAGACTGTGGATGTTGCAAACAGGGAGGAAAGGGGGAAATAACTTTTAATGTCTTTGTATTTTGGAAGACAGAACACGTTACAATCATAACGACAAAGTTTTCCAAGTTATATGTATTAATCTTAAACTCGTCTTGGATGATCCAAAGCTGTGACCCATTTTGTAACGGCTTGTCCTGGTCTTGTCCTGTCTCACTCGTTTCTACAAGGGCTTGTCGGTCCTGTGCGCCGTGATGAAGGCCATGCCATGTGTGCGGAAATGAGTGCTAAGGTCCGAAGCCTTGTCGAAGCGCCGGCTGCACACCCTGCAGCTGACCCCCCCTTCCCCTTCCTCGCCCGCTTTAGGTGAGGACGGAGAGCCTTCCTGCGACGACGTGCCAGGTGATGCGTTTCCGCCACGATTGTCATGCTGACCTTGGCGTAAACGGTGCGTGATGAATTTGTGTCGGCTGAGGGAGCCGGCTGAGGCGAAGCAGGCGCCGCACTGCAGGCACTGCTGTGGCGAGTTCTCCGCGTCACAGTGGACGGGAATGTGGCGCTGGAACTCTTCCCAATCCTGTGTGGTGAAGCCGCAGGGTGTGCAGCGGAATGTGCCGTCGTCTTCCTCCTGCTCGAGCGGCTGGTTCTCAGATGCTCGAGTTCTTTTGGCGTCCTCTCCTGCGACGTCATCAGTATCGGTGCCTCCCCCTACAGGTGGAGCTCCGCCCTCGTTGTCGAGCTCAGACGAGCTGCCTCCCCCGTCACCCGGAAGTGAACGCTTTCTGGTGTTTGGAGCATTCTGGGAAAAGAAATTAAAATTAATATGTGGATAATCAAATGCCTCTGAACTCTAAAGAGGTGGAGTGCTCAAACTGACCGGTCTGTCTGTTGTTTGTCGAGCTCTGATGCCATGTCTGACCCGAATGTGCTTCTCCAAAATCAGACGACTACTGAACGTACGCTTGCCCTCTGAGCAGTGCCTGAGGAGAGCAACATATGCAGAATTAGAAAGGCAAACTAAACAAATAAAGAATCCTTTTTAGCAAAGGAAAAGAAAGAATCAAATAAATTTGTGGTTGATGAATGTTGGACTCACGGGCAGCGGAAGACTCTCTTGACACCCTCGTGTATTATTCGGACATGTCGACGAAGGCTGTTGGCTGAACTGAAGGAACGTTCACACAATCTGCAGGGGAACTTCTTCATTAACTAGAGAAACAAACAAACAAAGCAAAAAAGACAGGCATATCACAAATTTAATAAACTAAGCATGTGTATGTTTTGTATAAACTTGTGTATGTTTTTAAGAGTACCAACCTTGCCGTGTTCGTTCTTCATGTGATCGATGTAGTCCTCTCTTTCAGCATAGCGTTTCTTGCACTCCTTGCACCTCCACTCCATACTCCCGCTTTCTGGAGAGCTCGCCTGATCTTCCTCCTCATTCTCCTCCTCTTCTCCCTCGTCTCTCTCTTCCCCTTCATGCTCTCCCTCCTCCTCTTCCCCCTCCTCGTCCTCCTCCCCCTGTCCCTGGCTCAACTCATCTGAATTGTTTTCAGTGGGTTTGGACTTAGAGGTGGAGTTGCTGGCAGGAGCTGAGACCGGAGATGAGGTGGTGGGTGGAGTCTCTGCTTTGACGGACAGGCCTCTATGAGCAGTCTAATGGGAAATATTGAGAGACAGCTCTGGTTAAAAGCATGAGCGTGACTGACAGGAAAATGTGACAATTCACACTGTGGTGGCTGTTGTACTTGGTATGAGCTTTAGACAAGGTGATACACAGAAATTACTTTGTAAATGCCAAACCAAGGATCTTAATGTATGCCTTTGCTGACACCACATTCTTTAGGGGAAGAGAAAAGAATGGGTAACACAAAAGGCAAAATAACAATTAATTAATTTAAAACTTAAACAATTCATATTCTGAAATGCACTCTATATACTGAATAATAATAATAATAATAATTGTTTTTATTATTATTGAAGTTGTTTATATTATCTAATAATGTAATGCTATTATTATTAATAAGGTATTTACCTTGATGTGTTCCATCATGGACCCTTTCTGGGCATAAAGTTTAGTGCAGTCTGGACATTTGAACACATGCACCTTCTGTTTGGCCAGGTGAGTGTCAAAATGCATGTAGAGCAAAGGTTTCTGGGTGAACACTGTGTCACACATGACACACTTGTAGATCATC